TCACACTCGCAATTATGGCATCAGTATTGCTCATCCTCTGCAGCGGATTCCTTAATAATAGTAATAACAATAATAATAATATCAATAATAATAATAATGAATAATAATGAATAATAATAATAATAATGAATAATAATAATAATAATGAATAATAATAATGAATAATAATAATAATAATGATAATAATGATATCAATGATAATGAATAATAATAATAATAATAATGAATAATAATAATAATAATGATAATAATGATATCAATGATAATGAATAATAATAATAATAATAATAATAATAATAATAATAATAAATTAATGGACAAACAATGACTAGCAGAAGCCAGTTTTCGCGCCAAATATAAAACAGCGCTGGCTCTGCTATGCGTAGTTTGTTGTTCATGTTTACAATAATAATAATAATAATAATAATAATAATAATAATAATAATAATAATGAATAATAATAATAATAATAATGAATAATAATAATAATAATAATGAATAATAATAATAATAATAATGAATAATAATAATAATAATAATAATAATGAATCAATAATAAGATGATGATGATGATGAAGAGTAATAATAATAAGAATAGTAATAATAGCAACAAAATTATCACTATTTCATTAAGTCGAAAGCACATAATAGCATTGCCAATCAGGCCATCATCATCATCATCAACATCGTCATCATCATCATCATCATCATTAATGACAACGACTGCTTCATCAACAACAACAACAACAACATTATTTTTATTGTTAATAACGTCAGCTTAAACATTATCATCATAAACAACAACATCAACAAAAACAACAACAACGACAACAAAAACAACATCTTAAAGACCCTCCCAAAAAGGTCAGGCAAATTCCTTTCGGGTTCTTTCATTGTCAATGTCGAATGTCCTTGTAATGTGATATTAATATGATATTAATGTGATGATGTTGTTGCTTTCGTTTTTATTTTAATGTCATTCATCTTGCTGATGAAGTAACATTAACCTAAACATCATCACCATTACCAAAATCAACAACAACAACACATCATCAACAACAACATTATTTTTATTAATAATAACATAAACCTAAACATCATCATCATTACCAACATCAATAACAACAACATCAATAACAACAACATCAATAAACATCAACAAAAACAACAACAACAGAAACAACAACATCAACAAAAATAACAGATTATGTTTATTGTATTTTATCTTATTTGATGATTTGAATAGCGTCTTTTGATGAAAAATCTCAGAGGCTAATGTTTTTACCGCAACGATTTTGTTGATGTAATTAAGTTAACGCTATTAGTGTAATAATCCCGTTGATGCTAATGCAGTTAATGTAATGATTTTTTGATGTAATTATGTTAATACTTTCATTTCTGCGTGTGTCTTCTTTAACAGAGTTTAATG